ACAAGTATTGGTGACTTGTGCAGAAAAGGGAACATTAGTGCACTGTTGGTAGGAATGTAAATTGGTGCAGCCGCTGTGGAAAACAGAATGGAGGATCCTTAAAAAGCTAAAAATTCAACCACCTACTGGTATTTATCCAAAAAACAAAGCAAAACAAAACAAAAATAGTAATTAGAAAAGATATATGCATGCCCATGTTCACTGCAGCATTATTCACAATAGCTAAGATATGGAAACAACCAAAGTATCCATTCACAGATATTGAAACAACCAAAGTATCCATTCATGGATTAATGGATAAAGAAGATGTTGTATATACACACAATTGGAATATTACTTGGCCATAATAAAGAATGAAGTCTTGACATTTGTGATAACATGGATGGATCTTGAGGGTATTATGCTGAGTGAAATAAGTCAGAGAATGGCAAATACCATACGTGGAATCTAAAAAGAGAAACAAACAACAAAAAGAAAACTCCATCAAGGCAGAGAACAGACTGGTGGTTACCAGAAAGGATGAATGACGGGAAGATGGGCCAAAAAGGAGAAGGGGGTCAAGAGGTACAAACTTCTAGTCATAAAATAGTAAGTTATGGGGATGTAAATGATGACTATATTCAACAATACTGTAATGCATATTATCTAACTTTATATGGTGACAAAGGAAACTAGATTTAGTGGTCATCATTTCACAGTGTATACAAATATTGAATCATTATGTTATACACCTGAAACTAATACATTTTATGTCAATTATACCTCAAAAAAATACTCAGATTTCCTCAAAAAAAATACCATTATGATATTTTTGTATACCTCCTCTTAAATTACCATAATCTACTCTGAATCTCCTGTTTATCTGTTTTCTTAATGGACTGCTAACTCTTCAAAAATTGAGAGAATCTCATTTATTTGCACTATCTTATAATAACACCACATACAATATTTTACATATGTGACAAGCAATTAATGAATAAGTAAATTGACAACCTAAACGACAGATTTTCTGTGAACACATAAGGACAATTTGACAAAAGTACATCATCAGATTTATCTCCTCAACTTAAATAGATCGCTCTGGCAGAAAAAAGGCAAGAAGAAACATATCAAACACAATTTTAAATAATTTTATAGTATTACACCCCATAAAATGTCACAAATCAAACTTATTTTTTCCTGAAATATTTTAAATTGCAGTAATCTACACAAAAGTATTCCAAATCCAAGAAAAGGTAAGACTTTAGTTTTATTATAACACTAAAGAACACTAAAGGTTCTTTCTACTGAAACTTTACTTGTTATTCAATTAGCAAAAACTAAGAATCCATATATCCTTTACAATTAAATAAGCTGCCGGTCGGTTCATTTTATTTTTAAATAAAAATCAATTTGTAAGCATGTAATTGTCTGAAAAAACTGTAATTCTATATCTAATATATACATATATTTTAAAGATTTTATTTATTTATTCATGAGAGACGCAGAGAAAGAGAGACAGAGGCAGAGGCAGAGTTCTGAGAAGCAGGCTCCATGAAGGGAGCCTGACATGGGACTCGATCCTGGGTCTCCAGGATCATGCCCTAGGCTGAAGGCGGCACTAAACCGCTGAGCCACCAGGGCTGCCCTATATCTAATATAATGAACATTGTACTTTAATAGGCAAAGTGGAACTCAAATGTAATTTTTATATTCCTAAACTAACAAACTGACATTAGTGGGAGATACTAGTGATAGGCCCTTAACATTTCAGAAATTGAGACCCCTGAGCCTGGGTGGCTCAGCGGTTGAGCATCTGCCTTCAGCTCAGGGCGTGATCCCATGATCCAGGGATCGAGTCCTGCATCAGGCTCCCTGTGAGGGGCCTGCTTCTCCCTCTGCCTGTGTCTCTGCCTCTCTCTCTCTGTGTGTCTCTCATGAATAAACAAATTCTTTAAAAAAATTTTTTTTCAGAAACTGATATTCAAGATTTTAGTTATCTTCAAGTGCATGTAAAGGTCTGTAACATGGAAGTAATTTATAATTTTACAAAGGCAACAAATGCTGAGTTTAGAGACATCAATAAGTAAATATCTATAGTGATGCTGCTCAGCTTTAGGAGTTCGCCATGCACTGCATTTAAAACTATTCATGAGACTGTTTTAGCGAGTGCTCCAGCTAGAATTTCTCTTATATATGGTTCTGAAAATAGTTTTGACCTGAATATATATACAAAGCATTGCTTAAGTTTTTTGTTTTATTTTATTGCAGTTCATGGGAGAAACCACATGCACAGTGTAAATCCTCATTCTGCCTTTATTTCCTGGCTGGTTTTGTGTCTCAATTTCCTATTCCTTGAAATAATAATACCTAACTTATAGGACTGTCATTAAGAACTCAAAACCTCAAAACTGGGGGATCCCTGGGTGGCTCGGCAGTTTGGCGCCTGCCTTTGGCCCAGGGCGCAGTCCTGGAGTCCCGGGATCGAGTCTCGCGTTGGGCTCCCAACATGGAATGGAGCCTGCTTCTCCCTCCTCCTGTGTCTCTGCCTCTCTCTCTCTGTGTGTGTGTGTGTCTATCATAAATAAATAAATAAATCTTAAAAAAAAAAAAAAAAAAAAGAACCCAAAACTGGGGTAGCCCAGGTGGCTCAGCGGTTTGGTGCCACCTTCAGCCCAGGGCCTGATCCTGGAGACCCAGGATTGAGTCCCATGTTGGGCTCCCTGCATGGAGCCTGCTTCTCCCTCTGCCTATGTCTCTGGCTCTTTCATGAATAAATAAATAAAATCTTAAAACAACAAACAAAAAACCCCCTCAAAACTGAAATCAAGTAATGGGTACAGTGCTTAAGATTTTTAAAAACATGTCATTGAGAAATTATTTATTATATGTAGGTGCTCAATAAATGGTAGCTATTGATAAGTCTCGTTATTAGTTGGAGTTTCAAAAGGTGTAGAGACATTTTCACTGTTCTCCATCATGCTTTTCTTCCCTTAGAAACACCTGCCTCTCCTTTGAAGCAGTTTTTTTAGGCAGGAGTGCCCTGCACACTCTCCCCTAATGTTTTAAAGGATCGACTGCCCAGTTTCTCTTTGCAGACAAATCCCACACCTAAGCTAGATGCCCAAAGCACTGGCAGATGGACCAGTGCTACAAAATAATGCAAGACAGAACCCAAACAGAGGACAAAGAAACAACAAAAATGAGGCTGCGGCTAACCACCTAGACAGAGTAGAATGCTGCCTTTCTCCTCCTCAGGAGGTGCTAGAGCAGTCTACCTGGCTAGCCTCAGTATTTTGAGTGACATGGTCGGTACAACAGAAAGACCCATAAAGAAACATGTATACTTTAGAAATGAAAAGGTTAACAAGGATCTCCAGACATAGAACAATTTTGAATGGAAAGATATGTAGGCAGGAACTGCTATACTGGTTCAACTCATCAACTTCTAATTAAAACATGTTATGGTCAGTAGAGGTGGAAAACAAAGGCTGTTTCCAGAGTGACTCTCATTCTTATAACTCTCATAGTTAAGTATTTTTAAAATTATGGGTCAAAGAGGCAACCCTCTCTGCAAGTGATAAACCTAGTTTACATTAGAAACTATTACTTTGTGTAACCCTGCCCACAGAATTCCCTTCTCACACATTTCATTATTTTATGTCTCCACCAGAAACTGGGGAAGTCCCTGTACCTTCTCTTGCAGATGATAAAGACACACAGTTAAATGTCCTCTGACTAATGTGAAGAATTAAGAGTATGGGTTGTGGAGACATTCGGTCCTTCACGGATTTACCTTTCTCTCAGGGGGCCTCAGTTTTCTCATTTACATGATATTAATTTTCTCCTGATCAATAGTTGCATTTAAATTTTTAAAACTTGGGATCCCTGGGTGGCGCAGCGGTTTGGCGCCTGCCTTTGGCCCAAGGCGCGATCCTGGAGACCCAGGATCGAATCCCACGTCGGGCTCCCGGTGCATGGAGCCTGCTTCTCCCTCTGCCTATGTCTCTGCCTCTCTCTCTCTCTCTCTCTCTCTCTGTGTGTGACTATCATAAATAAGTAAAAATTTAAAAAAAAAATTTTTTTAAACTTACCGAATAAAATAACATATTAGGAATAGAAACAAGTGTGTGTGTGTGTTTTATTTATTCATGAAAGACACAGAGAGAAGAGGGAGAAGACATAGGCAGAGGGAGAAGCAGGCTCCATGCAGGAAGCCCAATGTGGGACTCGATCCCAGGTCTCCAGGATCACACCTTGAGCTGAAGGCAGACGCTTAACCGCTGAGCCACCCAGGCGTCCTGCAGTATGTGTTTTTAACTGTCTACTGACACTATAACTTCCAAATACTTTATATTGAATGGGGGGTGGTAGATAACATTTACTATTTTAACACCTGTAACAAACGCAACTTTTTACTGAATGGTTACTGTGTACCTGGCACTGTGCTTAATCCATTTCCTTTAATACTCACAACGACCTATGAAATATATTATCCTCATTTCATAGTGGTAGTCTCAAAAAATTGGGGAAATTCCCCAAAGTCCAAAGCCAGTAAATAATAAATTCCTAATTCATTTTTAAAAAGATTCATTTATTTATTCATGAGACACATGAGAGAGGGGGGCAAGAGGGAGAAGCAGGCTCCTCGCAGGGAGTCCGATGTAGGACTTGATCCTGGATCCTGGGATCATGACCTGAGCCAAAAGCAGGTGCCCAACCACTGAGCCACCCAGGCATCTCACAAATCCCTAATTCATACCAGAACTACTTGACTCCAAAGGACTATTCTCTGAACTACTTCAGAGCTTCTCTGATAAATAGTAACAAAAAGATGAAGTAATTTGCAAATAATTTTAAACAAATACAATACCAGTTCCTGCAAGCACTAAATTATATTTGACAACTCAATACTACAACTGGTCTTTATTTGCCAAACAGGAGTCACAGTTAATGAAAAGTTTCTTTTGTTAACTCTGTTAGATCTGGTTAAAAAGCTGGATCTGGGAACCATCTCTTACCTGTGTTGCCATCTCCACTCTCCATAGATGGTTTACTGGTTTCTGACGGATTGTTCATTCTCGAGTCTGCAATGAAAATCAGAGGTGAAAAAACAAAATCAGAGGTGAATGAAGCTTTTCAAAAATTGGAGATGTGGTTAGGGAGGGAAAATTGTGGAAAAGGACAGGTTTAAGAATATTGACTGTTACAGTCCTACAGTTCAAAGAGAGGGTCAAGCTAAAACACTAGAAATTGTAATAAAAGTTTATCTGAAAGAAATTCAGGATTCCCTTAACCCTGAAGTGATCCACAAATAAATTGTCTTTCCAAAGAATTTTAATGTTCTTCTAACAAAGATAACTGAAATTTAACCTGAAAAAAATTATACTAGAGTCTAACATGTAAATGGAGTAAATGTAGTATGAATCATAAAATACTTTACAGAAATAAAGCTAGGCCAAGCACCCTACAAAGTAAAACATGTTATTCTCTCTCTTTTAAAAAAATATTTTATTTATTTATTCATGAGAGAGACAGAGAGAGGAGCAGAGACAGAGGCAGAGAAGCAGACTCCCCACAGGGAGCCTGATGCAGAACTCGATTCCAGGACCTCGGGATCATGCCCTCAGCCAAAGGCAGACGCTCAACCACTGAACCACTTAGGTGTCCCTAAAACATGTTATTCTCAAATAAAGTTTATTTTTCCATAAGAAAGGTATTTCTTTTTTTTTTTTTTTTTGAATTTTTATTTATTTACGATAGGCACACAGTGAGAGAGAGAGAGAGAGAGAGAGAGAGAGAGAGAGAGAGAGGCAGAGAGAGAAGCAGGCTCCACGCACCGGGAGCCCGACGTGGGACTCGATCCTGGGTCTCCAGGATCGCGCCCTGGGCCAAAGGCAGGCGCCAAACCGCTGCGCCACCCAGGGATCCCAGGTATTTCTTAATTACAACCAAAATCTTCATAACAAATTGGACAGTAACTCAACCTAACAGAATAAGAAAGCATGTCTAAGAAAAAAAAAACCTCCTTATTTACTTCCTGCCCAAACTAACCATGTGTCAAAATAAAAATACGTCAAATTCATATCTCAATCATAAACCAGAACAAGAAGTTGTACCATAAGGGATAACAGATACATCTAATAATTTCAAAATTGAACCACATCCACACACACCTAAAAATATCACCTATCTGATCAATATCCCATATGAACCTCCAGACATTATCTCCTTAATGAAGCACTATTAGGTATCCCAGAGGATATACAAGAGATAAGAACAAGTCTGCTTTTCTTCCAACTTTTTAATAGGGTAAAACCCAAATACACATTTAATATATACCTCATTCTATTCTACTATAAACCCAAACTTAACATATTTAGATTCAAGTTGACTATAAAGCAAGTTCTCCCTTTTCTCGTATTGGGTTAAAAACCATTTAACTATAATTATTAGTTGAGAATAAATAGACTATTTGATTTTTTTTTCCACTGAAGAGTACATTTTGCCATCTGCTTCAATGTTTAAGTAGGAAATCACAATCATGAGAAGTCCCAACCATGCTGTCCACGGTTGCTTTACATAAATGTGTAAGTGATGAGAGAGAATCAAGAGTCCTCCTCCCATAAATTTCATTTCCAACCTGGAAGCTGTGTAATAGCTTTTCTAATTTTTTTTTTAAAAATGTTTGTCTTATGCAGTTCTATCATATCTTTGGTTTGTTCTTCAGATGTTCAAAGGGTTCAAATTCGTTTTTCTGTGGTCATAAATGAGAGTAGTTCTACAACTTCCGTGCCCCTACTGTACAGAAAAATTTAAATGTCACTGAAAGCATACTAAGGTTTGAAAGGAACAGGTGTACAACTTAGTGAAAATCAGCTTTCTGAATGACTTAACCAAATCTTATGAATGTCAGCAAAGATCACAACAAATGTTAATATACCATTAAACATACATTCTGCTCATTACTGCCTTCAGAATGTATGTTAAAAGTGGGAAAAATATGAACCAGTTATTATTCATAAAAACAGTTTTTCCACATATCTTTTACACAGAGAAGTAGGAATAATTCTTAACAAGTCATGAGCTTGTCCTTGTGCAATTCATAACCTAATTTCCACACATCTAAATTAAAAATTATGTCACAGGTATTGTGTGAGTCTTCTAAGCATTTTCGACTGAATTGTCAAGAACTTAAGACATGTAAAAGTACTTCACACATACATACACATGTAAATACATCAAAATTCTGACTAACTGTACAACAGTGTGAAGACTATTCAAATGACAGTTACTGTTAATAATAAGAGATCTAATTTCTCATTCTAAAATATAATGCTAAAGTATTTCAAAAAGATATTTTTCTTTCCTTTCTTGACTTTCCAACTTAATAGATGTAAAAGAGTAAATACAAGTAAGTTCTTTTTTGATATTTAAGCTTTTTCTCTCTCTGGGCACAGTGAGCTGACTGTGTAAGAATATAATACACAGTCTACAAATTACTCTCGGATTGAATTCTTGACACCAGTTTGTTGTTTTAATCATAGTTTTTATTGTGCTATACAAATATTACTACTGCCTTGAGTTTAGGCCATTCTTTCTTCCTAAGAATGTAAACATTTTCTGAACTATCATTTAATTTTATCCTTAGCAACTGTGAAGGAGATTGGGGGGAGGGGGGGGTCAAGCCACAAATTTTCAAGTGAGAAAAATGACACAGGAAAAAAAAAAAAACACTTGCAAAGGTTTTCAACCTAAAGTTTATATCATCGGACTCTCCAGGTAACCAGAGTGACCTAAAGAGGTTTCAAGAATTTTGCATACAAAACAGACAAATCTCAACACAAAATAGGGCCACCATGAGCCACAATGTGTCTCAATCTATTTTAAATCTCAGTTACCAAAGACAGTTTATATAATCAAGCCTCACACTCCCTTCCCTAAAAGGTTTGCTGTTCTATAGAGAAAACTCTAAAAATAGGCTTTCCAGCACTTAAAATTGTTTTCTGAAGAACAGAAGTTGATTTTTTTTTTTAATAAAAAAGGCTAATATCAGCCAAATTTTGGAAACGGTGGTTTCTCAAATCTGAAAACTGATCAACAGTCCTATTGCAGTACCACTGCAATTACCCTCTGCATTTGTATTTATGGGAGCCATTCTGCACTATGGCTCCATCTTATTTTTCACTATGCACTTTTGGTTTTTATATAAGACACTCACATTAGGTATGCAAAACATTTTTATTAATATGTACACATTATTTAGGTACACTTTATACCAGTTTTAGATTTTGAGTGTTTTTTAGAACTATATGAAATGCTCCCAATAGATATTTCCAAAAAGCAAAAATGTACTCTGTTTAAGTTGAATTCCAAATCTACACTATGTACTGAAAATGTCTTCTGAACCAGAAGAGCTAGTGATAGGGAGGGACCTACTGCAAATTCAAGTATGCTCGTGCCTTGCAAATGCTTTCTTCCTTCTCTGCTCAATCCACCTCTCCCCCTCCCCCGAGTTGGTTGCATATGCGATTAAGTATTTATGCATAGTCAACCCCACACGCGCTATTTCCATATTAAAGCTTATAAGAAAGAACTGTGCTGGTACCCACCTAGAACATAGTCACTGCAGTCCAGCATTGCTGTGAAATCTTCTAGAGGTTCCCACAGTCCAGAGCAAGGAAGAAACAGGTAGCAGTTTGGGGTGGGGGAAAGAAGGTACTACTATTTCTAATAAATCTACACTATGTTCTTAAGAGAACAAGGGTGGGAGGTGGAAAGTGGATTGGGGGAGAAGCAAAATACAACTTCAGTTACACCATAGCAATCTTCAACTGAATAAGGAAACTTCAGTTGCTCAGAGGAGTTTTAGTCTCTCCTACCAGCTAGGACTGACATTGTCAAGGCAACTGAAGCATGAAAAGTTCCCCTTTTTGTAATAAAATAGAAACAAAGATTGCAGCTGGCAGTTTCCATAATGAAGCTTAATCAGTATGCGTGTGATTAGGGCCTTATGCAAATCTCCCCTCGTTAGCACAGCAGCCAGCACTTTGAAGTCCACGAACAATTCATTTACAGAACACACTGAAAGCACTCCCTGCATAATTTAAATCATTGCATAAATATTTATCAGTCCATTTGCATATTAATTGGCAGTGCATGAAGGGAAAAATTATCTCCTGAGTGCCAGCATAATAATTAGGAGGATAAAATGAGATTTCTTCCAATGGCCTGGCTTCTCGGACCTAACTTGAGATAGTACCGGGGGAGAAGGGAGAGACAGGAGACAGAGTTCTGTTAAAATGGCACTGAAATGACACGTACAAATTAGAAACAACTCTACAGACTTAAGCACCTTTAATCTTATTCCTGCTGGCAACAATGACTTCAGTAATAAGAGGATTTGCAAAAAGCTTTCTACACAATCCAAATAATCCCAAGGAAACAATTAGCAAGGTAGAAGCAGAACATAGGGCTGTCAAGATGGTGCTAGCCTACTGATAGGGAATTTTCCAAATATTAACATATACTAGGGAAAGTCCTACTTTAAAACAAGGCAACAATATAAATCCAGAAGCAGTGGAAGAGCTATAAAATTATTTTCAAGAGTATGGAAATTCATCATCGATAAATCTTTTTATACTACCAAATCCACAGATTAGTTGAATGCCATATATTATGCAGTATTCTTCCCCCATCAAAATCACTCTAAAGTATGAAGGCACTTTGTTCTTTACAATATCATAAAAAAATGGGTCATATAAATTATGGACTTAGTATTTTCAAGTAAAGTTCATCTAATGTATATGAATATATATATGTATACTCTTTATATATATAGATATATATACTCTTTACTAAAGAATGTATCTGTTCAATTTAAAGTGAATTTACAAGGTAAAAATATCAGCCCAAAACTTTTTAGGCATGATATGACATGATATGACATTCTACTGTAAACACCATAGACAACTTGGGAGAAAATTTATAAAAATCTCATGAGTAAAAAAAAAAAAAAAAAAAATCTCATGAAGTAGGTATTACTACTTTGTTAAAAAAATAAATAAATAAAAGGAAACTGAGGCAC